TTGTATTGGTGAGAAAACTCGGCTTAAAATAGAATGAAGGTATTTGCAGTTAGTTGCACAACCACACATTTCAAAGTCTCCTATCAGAGTTTCAGGTTCCTCTTCATGCACAACGGACACCATATACATAGGTGACTAATGGTGTGGAATGATTAGTTTCCATCTCCATGGCAACCTTCATCAAGTTCTCACCTGGGGAAGCTGAGCCTAGAAGCACACTTAGCCTCCAGGTGTCGCAGCTGGCCAGTGGCAGAGCTCGGACTGGGCTCCAGTCCCACTGCTTCCACTTTCCTGGTGCTCCTCACACACTTCCCATTCCGGACATGGATTCCCGATCATGCTGTCCATCCTATTTTTAAATATCTCTGGAGAAACCCCGTCTAGGTTACCCCAACCTTTGCTGTCGGAACGTCGCCCCTTGGACCCAGTTTTACCTGTGCTGCTGCCAGTTAAAGCATCTTCACCTCTGTCTGCAGAGAATGGAAGTAGGAAGAAGGAAATAGGAGATCAGAGGTGTGGCCGATTGGAGACAGGGCTGAGGAGACAAAACCTGCCCTGCAATTTGGGGGGATGCTTTATCTTAATGCCTGTTGCCATGAGAACACTTTTTCCTGTGCAATCTGCATTTTTCCCAATCTCATACCTCCCACCTTGTGGTGTTTACACAGTGAGATTGGCAGAACTCTGCCAGGAGTTGGAAGTAGTACAAGTTCACAGCCATGCCAGCCAGCCATGCGATAGTCTGTGTACAGTGTGAAAAGAATCTGTGAGCGGAGCCAGTAGCCTTGTGCTCCATGTAATCCCTATGATAGATTCTGGGGAGCATATCTTTCCAGTATGGGAGGGGCGGTACAAGGAAGTGTCTCCTTAAATGTCATGTGATGTCTAGCTGCCTTTGTATATCAGCCAGTCATGCCAGTTTCCCCCAAAGTTGCAGGAAAGGCAGTTTCCATGTGCACCACTGACATGGGTAGGTTCTCAACAGCCCCATGTGTGTGGATGCCATTATTTTAAATTTCCTAGAATTGACCTGATTTGATAGAAGCAAATGAGCTTATTTCTCTGAGAAGTTGGTCACTGGGCTAGGAATGCCCTGCACAGAGGGAGGGAAGGAGTTGAGGTTGTAGCTGGAAGAGGCCTTTGGTGGTTCTAGATGTCCCAACTTCACACACTCGAGACTGTTGTCACTTTCCTGGAAGCCGTGAAGAGAACATTCTCACTCCCTCTGGCAATTCTGTGTACGTGAGATTTAACCTTGAACCGGCAGTTGGTTCCAATTTGTGGCCTTGTGGAAATCTATAGTTGGTGTAGAGTCCTGCTTTTGCCTGAGAGGTAAAGCTCATGGGCATTGGCAAAGGCTGGCAGCTATAGTGGGAACCTCAAGCTCAGTGGTAACAGAACAGTGCTGCTAGAGGCTCAGGCAATTCCATGGGTCCTTCTCTTCAACATCAGCACTAGTTTTAACTGGCTCGGTGCTCCTAGTTGCCCAGTGCTTCCAAGGTACTGACATGACTGGCTGGCTGGAGAAGGCTTGCCACCTGAGAAGAGGACATCTCTTCTGGGGTCAGCCAGCTCAGGGGTGTGGGGCGTAAGGGAGGCGGGGAAGGCTGGAGCTCCGGGCTCTTGAGAGGACACAGATTGTAGAGCCCTGCTGCACCCTCCTGTACACACCACTTGTGGGCACGGAGATGACATCATTTTGCAAAGGTGATCTGCGCACTGGTAATAGAACCTGGATGGTGTCCTTGTCATCTGAATCACAGCTATATTCATTGCTCCAATTATCATGGATCCCATTGGAAAGTACACAAAGGATTATGTCTGTGGAGGCCGGAGGCCATTTGGCCTGGTTCTTAGTGGATGGAGAGGAGTTTGTCTGGAGGAGTAAGTGGAGGAAGAGCCTTCTGGGCAGAGGGCATGGGAGCTGCAGAGATGTGGGCCATGGCCTAGCTGGTTCTGGATTCCATTGTCACTTGCCCTCTCCTCCATTAGGGTAAGACTGTTTTTCTCTTCCAGCAAACAAAGCAGACTAGTAGGGCCCCTGGTGGTCCCCTGTTCTCTAGGGTGGGGATTGAAAACTCAGGCCACTGTGCCATTTATGACATTAATGCTTCTAGAAGGTGCAAAGGAAAGGGTCAGAAGGTGCACCTACTCAGAGAATTATCATCACTGAAGAAACTTAGCTTCAGGGAGGTTACATTCCTTGCCAGGTCACACAGCTATGGAGGAGGAATTCAAATCCACATTTTATGACTCTAAACCTAGGGTTCCTCCGACTAAGTCCTAATTATTGTGTGTAGCAGCTTGTTAATTTCTAATTAGATCATTCCGAAGGTTGAGCTGCTTGAAGTAGAGAACGTTCCTTCTTCCCCCATCCATCCAGCTCATGGTTGATGAGATAAGAGTGAACGCTCTATTTTTAACCACTCTCTTCCCACTTTATGGAAGAGCCTGTTTTTCCCTCAAGTTAAATCTGAGCTGCTTTCAGTTGTTTTTGCCAAAGGAGGTGGAAATTGGTTCCAGCAGAGATGTTTCCTGTGAATCTAAAGATTTCAAATGCTGTTGTATTTAATCTGTTAGTCCCAGTATATTATCCATGAACCAGAGAACCTGTCAGAGGTGCTGCAGTTAAACTCTGTTTCCCTTATGATTTTGAATTTCAGAAGTTCGCAGTCTCTCTTCTAAGTGCACACACTATATCTGAACCTCATTCTGCTTTAAAAACAAAACAGAAAAACCCTCTCCTTCTTTCAAAACACTTAGAATTATTGAATTACTGGGAAAGTTTGTAAGCATTTCATAATTTTCTTTCCTATACTAATCTCTCCGGTCCAGTCTAATTAGAGTCTGCATAAGGATTAGGTAACAGGAAGTCCTGCACAGCAGATTGCCAGTCTCCTTTCCTTTTAATGTGAGCCATCTGAAATTAGCCCAGTGCAAGGGTTTCAACATCAAACACTGTGAGCCAAGTGAACACATCTGGTTGAGCATTCCAGATGCAGAGCAGATCTGCATGGCTGCATCTGACGTTTGAACCTGATGGAGCCAGTGGTCACTTCCCCAAGATGTGCTCAGCTAGTCTTGCTGGATTCCAACTTTATTCTATTGAAGTAACTCAAGATTTGTAATTCACTGTAGCCACTGACACCTGGAAGGTTTGCTTCCTACCCTCAAACCCAAAGGAAACATTTATGGTCAATTGAACGTAATTGTGTGACTGGCACCCTTTTATGTAGTGGTGAGATTATCTCATATCATATGGTACCTATTTTTTACACTTAAGGGAATGACACTAGAGTATTGATTTATCAGTATGGGGGAACTTAGATGGCCTCAATGATTCATCCCTGGACAGATGGGGGCAGGGATATGTGGGCCAGGTGAGCAACAGGAGGCTCAGGATAATGTTGGAGGTAAAAGCCAGGAGAGTCAGCAGAGTCCATTCCCAAATAATCTTGATGCTGTTGTCAGAGTGGTCCCCAGTGCTAGAGCTCCTCTGGCTCAGCACTCTCCACCCTCTAGAGTGGCCAAGGACAAAGAAAGTCAGTGTCACAGACCAACATCTCAGGTTATGGGTGAGGAAGCCGAGGCTCTGGGGAGGAAGGCTCGCCCAGGAACATTCAGCTCACCAGGCCAGAGGTGCTGATGGTGCCAGAAGCAATGTGCTCTTCGTTCTCTTCATCGTCTCCCAGCAGAGTGAACTTATTCAGGAATCCTACTTTTAGTTTGAATTATTTTTACCACCTGGAGGACATTGAGCAGTGGTACATTTTATTTTTTTTAAATGTATATATATAAAATGAATGTTTCCCACCTACTGAGAACAAGTTTCCAGACTCATTCATTCAAGCTCCTTTTACATAGCAAAGCTGAAATTCAAGAAGGAATTTTTTCCCTAAATAACTTTGAATGATAGCAAGTGTCTGTGAAACGTTTGGTTAAGAAATAATGAAATAAAGACGTAGTGTACTGATTTCATACCTCAGGGACTGTGAAAAAGAACACACTAATTTACTCTCATATTTGCAAACTAGAAAAGTAGATTTAAATTATGCTTCCCTAAATAGTTTGTTTATGTAAATATGTCCTGTATATATATATAGGAATATATATGTGCATATGTGTATAACATGTTAGCGTTCTTTCAGACACACAGATACACACACATACACAATGCTCTCCTTTTACCTGGTGTGGGAAGAGGGGAGACAGACCCCATTGTAGGGACAGCTATAGGAGAAGACACGGAATGGAACACGGTGGGTCAGGAGGTAGAAATGAGAGTGAGGTGAACTGGGGACCTGAGAGAGTAAACTTTCTCCATAATGGAACCCCCAGGGAGTTGATAGTTAGCTCTGAATGAATGTAGCTTTGTCTAGCTCCAATATAAAGTGCTCTAAAGAGCTGTTGTTTCTGAATGTTTGGAAGCAATTTCAAAGCTTTCTTGCTCTTTTGATAAGTAAAGTCTTTGGCTCAACCCAAAGAACAGCTAATCAGATTATGATTGGGATTTAGTAGTGAATATAATTGTAACTTCAATTTATAATTGAATATAAATGTAACCATAGTCTCAGCTGCTTGGTGGAAGAATACAAGAACCCCACGTGAGCTCCACGTTAGAGGATTTTACTGGTCTTTTCCAAGTGTGAGTGCTGGGAATATTGTAGGGCCTTTCATAAGCCTAACTGCCAGACTGTTTTTCAAAATGGTTGACCACCATTTTACATTCTTTTCAGTAATACATGAGAGTTCCAGTCTTTCCACATCCTCATCAACACTTATTATCTGTCTTTTTGTTAGAGCTGTTCTAGTGAGTGTGAAAGTGTGATGATCATTGTAGTTTTGATTTGCATTTCCCTGATGGCCAATGAGATGAGAATTTTTCCATGTGCTTATTGGTCATTGAATATCTTCTTTGGAGAGTCTGTTTATATCCTTTGCCCATTTTTTAAATTGAGTAATTTACCTTCCTTTCTGTCCTTTTAATTTGGTCTGGGCAGGATGCTGATATGCTGACTGGTGATGAGCAAGTATGGAAGGAAGTTCAAGAATCCTTGAAGACAATCGAAGACCTGAAGGCACATTGGAGTATCCTTTTTACCGTGGACTGACTTGTCCTGTTGGTGTTGCTTCCGTATTGGTTGGAGCCTGGGGTTAATGAAGCCAAGGCTGGGGCTTGACCTCTCCTGTTCCATGGTCTAGTAACAGTCAGTAAGTAATAGCCTCTTTATATGTAAAAGGTAACAAATTTCTGGGTTCTCTTCCTCTCATAACCTATATCTCTAGGAAAGAATAGCTTAGAATTCTTATATTTCAGTGTCATTCACCTTCAGATACAGAAGCTTCATATTAAATCAGCCTTGCCTACAATGGCAATGGGAGTTGCTGTATAACAAATATTCTTGGCATAAATAGTAAGGTCCATGCTTGAGTGGGTCAAAGTTCAGTATAAGGACAGATCACTTACGATGGAGGTCACTTGAGAAGGCTCTACTGATGTCATGCTGTTCAAGAGAGATCCTGAATCAGGGACAGGATTTACATAGGCAGAGGCTGAGGGGGGGCCACTTTCAGTAGAGAAGTTGATTTGAGTAAAAATGTGACAAAGGGAATCCGCAACGCGAGAAGAAAGAGACAAAGGCCAATGGAAAAGATTAGAAAATGTCATTCAGATGTCTTGGGTAAATGATATCCCAGGCATGAAGAAAATTTGCAAGTGAGATTTCTAATCTACAGTCAGTGTTCTTTAAAGAATTGTAAAGGACAGGAGAGGTAGTTAGGTAAATGTCCCTATTTTTAAAAGTGAAATGAGTAATTTCTGAAATCTATAGCCCAGTGAAGTTATTTTGGTTTTTGGTTTGGTGTGTGTGTGTGTTTAGAATTGGTTACTAAAAGAATGGAAAAGAAAGCTGTGATCACCAGGGTGCCGCATGGGTTCACTAAGAGCAGGTGAGTCCGTGGAATCATGGCTTTCTTTGGTAAAGTTTGTAGATTTCTGAAAGTTTTGATTTTTATAAAAAAGTAAAGAAATTTATGCTAGATGCTAGCATGACCAGACATCTTACTAAGTGGTTGAATAGCGACACTGAAAACTAGTGCTAATCAGACCACTGTCACTCTGAGTGCTTTGTTCTCATCTCTGTCCCCTTCTGCCTTTGCTTCTGTACCTTGAGTGACAATACAGAGCACGGGCTCATCTGATTCCCAAAGGTGTGCAGATGGGGAGGGTGGCAGAGGCTGATGACAGAGTCAGGAGCTCAGAAGATCCCCGAAGGCTTGAAATAATCCTGAGCCTAAAGGGATGACATTCAACAAGAGTGTATATGAAATCTTCTATTTGGGTAAAAAAGGTCAAGCGTATAAACATACACAAAGGTTAGCGTCAGAACAGAGAATAATTCTAGGGTTTTAGTAAACAACAAAATCTGATAAAATGTAAGGGTATAATTTGACCACCCAGAAGACCACTGTGATCTTGGACTACATTAATAGAAATAGAAACTTGAAAATGAGAATGGTGATAGTATTAGTCTGATCATATCTGGAATGTTTTATTCAGTTTGGAGTACGACTTATTAAGAGGGTTATGGAAAAATTGAAATAAGTTTTGAGGAGTGGAACCAGGATCAAAATGGAATGGGCACCCTGTCTATAGGCAGGATGGGGATATTGGGAAAAGAGTCAGATCTGGGAGCAAGAGAAACATTCTTGGCTCAGAGAGCTGTTACCCTGCACAGGAATAGACTTGTTCCGTGGGGTCCAAGCAGCAGAATTAGGGTGCGTGGATGACCCAGCAGCGTTCAGTTTCGACTGGACAAGGCTTTACTGAACACTGACTCTGGGCCAGGGGCCTTGCCAGTTATAACCCACCTTGTGGCTCAGGCAGGATGAAGAAGACACAGCCCTGGCCTCACAACTCTCACACCTAGTGGGTTAGTAAATATGTAAATGAGTACATATTTTGGTGAAATTTTATTGCATTTTGCTTTATTGCACGTCACAGATCTTTCATTTTTTACAAACTGAAGGCAAGACCGCCCACCAGCAAAAATATTACAATTCACTTTCTTGCGGTGGGCTGGAACCGAACCCTCAGTCTCCGAGGTCTGCCTGCATATATCTGAGGGGCAGCAAAGGCACAGTAGTCAACTTCGGGGCGTTAAAGCAGGTGTCACGGAGGCAGCACCCGAGCTGTGACTAGATTAGCCGGAGTTCGCCGGGTCAGCCCAGCGCAGATGGTGAGGCCACCAGAGAGGTTACCGCGGGGATGCATGTGAGTGCGAAGCATGCTGCTGAGAAACGGCCAGTTCAGTATGCACGGGGGGAACGTGGCCTGGCTGTAATGCACAGGGGCGGACGTTATAGGTGCGAGGGGACCATGGGGGGATTTTGAAGCAGCAGAGTAAGAGGACTAGGTGAGTAAAAGCCCTGTGGCCCAAGTCTTTGTCTCAGGAGCTGATTAATTCCCAAGTGGATCCACTTTGTCCCCTTTTCTCTCTTCCCCTAATCTTCTTAGTGTCATTTACAAGTTCTCGGAAAAGGTATCTGTTCTGTGCATTGACAGCCTGCTCTCCGGGTGGGCTCTCAGCCCCGAGTGGATCCAGAGCGCACCTCCTCACTGAACAGAATGAGCTCAGGTAAACACCAAGAGAGCTCCAGTGACTAAATTCTTGAGCAAACACACATCGGCATTGGCTTGGGGGAAAAGCCTCTTAGTTAAAATTATTCCATTTTTTTGCTCACTGGGGTGTTTCGCAGGGGAGGGTTGCCTTGTTTGCCAGGAGATGGTTGCCAGTGTTGCGAAGGGAAATTGGCACTCGGTCCCTTCCAGCTTGCTGGGGGATAAAGCAGATGCATTCCTATCAGGGGCTGCACAATATCTCATCTGGCTTTTGCTTTTGAGGCTTGTCGACTCCAAACCTCTCTCAAATGAGTTGGAGCAAGTGTAAGTGAAGAGGCAAATAATAACGAGGTCAAACAGCACAATGGTAAAATGAGGTGCCGAGTCTTGCACAGAAATGTCCAGCGTTGTGTAAGAGGCAGGCATTTCCCCTGACAGTTCGTCAGACAGCTACTCCTGGAACAGAAAGCCGCAGAGGTTAGCCCGGCAATCTGTTTCAGAATCAGTGCACTGCCTCAGATACTGCTCCCCCGCCTCCAGGAGGCTCGCTCAGCAAACTTTAAACATGCCCGGCAGATGGACACAAAAGAAAGCCTCCAACTCGCTTTTCTTCAATAAATGTACCTCTTCCGAGACCAGTCAACTCCTCCGAGACAGGACTCATCCTAAAATCATAGTGTAACGTCCAAGAGGTGTGAAGTAGCAGCCTCAGCCCTGTGTGGTGGGGCTTGAAACTCTAACCTTGGGGTGAGGTGTTATGCCTCCAGGAGGCCCCCCTGAAGGGAAACTACATTTCCTGTGGGGTTGGCGGAGATACAACTACTCACTCACCCAGTGGGCTGATGGGTTTATTGAAGGTGTTTGCTAATGTTCTGGAAAGCAGTGTCCTGAGAGTGGATGCCAGAGGAGGTGGATTTTGCTAGAAGGAGGGATGAAGCTTGAAGCAGGCCCTCTGTCAGGGCAGGGCTGCTGTGTCAGGTCCCAGAGAAGAGGCTTTGAGTGGGGGTTTGGGGGAGACAGGAGAACACTGGATAGTGAAGAGACTGGATTGTGTGGGAGTGGGGAGGGGTGTGTGGATGGGAGGAAATTCGATCGGACTCAGTCCACTGAACCATTTTCCTTCAGCCTCGTCGTACTCAGAGGTCAGGACACAGTAAGGGAGGAGAAAGGCAGTAATTTTGGTGGTGTGTGTATTGCATGCATTCCACTAAATATTTTCCCACTGTGTCCCTGGCACCCAAACTCTGCCTGTTTCACAAGAGAACACATAAAGAATTTTTAAATTTTTACATGCAATATTTTATTTCTTGAAGTAACATTGGGCGTTTTTATTTCTGGCCTACCTCAAAGCACTTAGATTAGATAGACTTACTCTGAACCTGAAATCAGACACATGGCAAAACCAGCTTGGACATAAGTCTCACTTTATCTACAGTCAAAGGCTCTGCCATTTCTGCGGCATCTGAAAACTGCAAACCTTTCACCCTAGAGGAATTCCAACACGTGAAAGCAGGTAAACTTAGAGGAGCTACACAAGGGGAAGGTGGGAGGTGTGGGAGAAGGGCCTGCCCCATCCGGCATCCTCCTTGGTGCACCTGACACAGCAGCATAGGAAAGAAACCACATGGGGGCCCTGGCCATATGGCTCAGTTGGGGCATCGTCCTGCACACCAAGAGGTTTCAGTTTGATTCCTGGTCGGGGTGCATACAGGAGGCAGTCAGTCAGTGTTTCTCTCTTGCCCTTCCTGTGTCTCTAAAATCAATAAAATACACATATTCTCAGGTGAGGAACAAAGAACAAAAAACCTATATGAGGTCCTTGGGTGCCAGCACTCTTGCTTCAGCTCTGCCTGAGGGGTAATTCATCTCAGGGATTCAGGGCACGCTCCATATAGCATGTCTTCCGTTACAGGGGTCTCAGAAAGCAAGGTCACACCAAGGCTCTGGGAGAGTAAGTTACGGTTGGTTAGAGAGTCAAGGTTGCTCAGCAGTGGGTACTGGGCTTTCTCTTCATTCTTTTAAAAGCATCATTTCCCCCTGCCCACAATTTATGTGTATAAACCATGCTCTTAATATCTTTTGTTTGGAGGGTTTAAAATTCACACACCTTTTTTCGGTTAAGTATAGGCTTGGGTCGCTTGTGCTTTATAATCAAAATACTTCAAAATGGGAAGCAGTGAAAATGAATTCAAGTTGTTTCCCCTAGTGTGAGCCTGTGGGTTGTGTATTGGTTTCCTGTATGCCCAAGATTCAGATGACACAAAAGCAATAATGAGCTCCTCCTTTAAAAAGGAATCTTCTTTTATTTCGGATGAGTTTTGAAACAAGCTAGCAGAGTAAATCATTTTAAACTGAACTAACTTAATCTTTAGTTCAGTTTAATAAACAGCGGCCTTCATTTCATGACTGGGTTTAGAGAGTATACATTTAGGAACATGAAGAAAGAACGGCTCTTGGGAAATCTTAATCCCCCAAAGCATTGGCTTGGTTGGAAGCTGGTTTGTTGATGTAAACAGACTTGACTTCTCCAAGATGCCACTTACATGTTTTTGTCTCTCAAGTGTGTTTTCAGGCAGCTCATCTGTGCAAAATAATGGGTTCTTCCTTCCCTCCTGTGCCTGCGAGCTCTCCAGACTTTTGGAGAATCTCATTTTACATTTGTTTTTCTTGGTGAAGACAATGAATCCTTAACTAAGGTTAATAACAGAGTGGGAACAGGTTCTGGCCATGTGCCAGGCGATCATAAGCAGCAACTCGGAACGGCTCCCTGATATCAACATCTACCAGCTGAAGGTGCTCGACTGTGCCATGGATGCCTGCATCAACCTTGGTCTGTTAGAGGAGGCGTTGTTCTACGGCATTCGGACCATGGAGCCTTACAGGTAAGTCCCAAGGAGAGGCTAAAATGAAGGCTACAGTGTCTTTACTTTGGCCAAAGGAGCGACATGGTGAAGTCACTCTGATTACTCCTTTTTTAGTTTCCCATCTGCTTCTCGATCAGTGTGTAAAACCAAATGTCATTTTATTCACTCCTTTGTGCATTCATTTATGCATTCATTCATCATTTGTGAAGGTCCTTCCGTGTGTCAGGCACTGAGGGTATTCAGAAACTAACGAGATGCTGTCTCAGTGTGGGGCCAGTGATTATAATACAGTGTGCTGTTTATAGTGCTAGAAGCAAGTACAGTGTCCTGGGGAGCCAGAGAGGAGCACACGGCTCAGACCTGGCTTGGGGAGGCTGTGACATTAGCCTTAGCTGATCTGGGTGAGGCTGGAGGTGTGGGGTCTCAGTCTGGCTGACAGTAATAATGGTGTCTTCCATATATCAGGGCTTTATGGTTCCCAAGGTGCCTTCACTCCAGTCATGTGACTTCCTGACCCAAGCAGGAGAGCAGGAGACAGCTGCTCAAACATGGTATTGAGTCAGGTGAAGGAACTGTTGGTAATTGTTTCTTGTCTGACTTCAGCTTCTTCAGACCAGTGGGTGTTTTGTCCCTAGATGCTCTTAGAACTCAGAGGAGCATTGGCAGTGCAGAAGTCTGGTGCTGAGAGTTTGATGCTGGCGGGTGAGGGACCCTGGTTTGCAGTGAGCTAAGAACATGTTTGGGAGCCGAACAGATGAGTCCAGGGGTTAGGGCGCAGAGACCTACCTACCATCACCTGAGCTGAAATAACCATCTCCAGCAGAGAACAAGGCCATTCTCTGCTGGGAAGGTGCCCCAAAGCATCTGGGATCTGGGGAGCATGGGAAGGTTCCTGGAGAGTGGGGTCACCATTCTGGGAGCTCTGAAGACCATGCAAGTGTGATGTCAGCCCTAAGGGGCTAAGCAGTGAGAATCCAGGTCTGAATCTATACAGCTTGGGACAACAGGCAGGGAGTGGTTCTAAGTGAAGGAGGGGAGGAGACAGAGCCCAGGGTTACTGCCTGTCCCCACTTGAGGAAGAGCCTCAGGGGACTCCTGAGAAGGAGAAGTTACCAGGATCATCACAATGAGAACAGAAGTAAGTCTAGTCTAGGGTATCAGTTCAGGCAAAGTGGTCAGGAAGCCAGGCCTCGGCCAGGAGGGTGGTCCAGGCAGAGAGGAACCAGAAGATAACAGAGGCCTCACCAGCCAGGTGCATGGCAGAGGTTTGTGGGCCAGCCATGGCACCAGGGTGACCCTGAGGGTGTTTTCAGAACTTCTGGAGGTGGTTTCTTCCACCGTCTTGTGGTTGCACAGCTTTGGAATCCAGACTGTGAGTCAGCTTTAATCAAACTTGTAAGATTGCCTTGAGGGCTGAGACTGTACTTTCCCATGGTCCTGAAATGTGTATTCAATGTGATGAATCTTGTGGGTTTTCAGAAATATGATCTGAACACAAAGAGATAAGACTTCATTCTCTAAACCTCAGTGTTGCAATGAGAGGCAGGTGGGAGACCATTGGTGCTACCTCTCTGAACTCCAGGGCTTGGTCTCAGGAAGCCAAGTCACAGGCTGCTGGGTGAGTGATAGGGTCTAGCCAGGAGATGCAGACTGAGAATCCTCCTGTCTCCAGGCCTCCCCGGCAGCCACAGTGCCCACCCTGCCTGCCCCATCCACCCCTTCCTTTGACACCCAGGCTGTCTCTGAGCCCAGAAGCTTTATGCTGGTCCAGCACTTCATCAAGACAGCCCCACGCCTTTGAGAGCATTTCTCCTACACAGATTTTTAATCATCTTTCCCCCATACCTACCAAGGAAGGCTTCTTTGGAGAACTTATTCCTTAATTGGATGTTTTACTGACTTACCCTTGAGTCAAACAAAAAGGCTTTTCTTGTAGTCAAGGCCAAGTTTGCCAGAATATGCTCCATATTGTTTGGAGTACACCGGTCCATTTCCCTGGTGGTTGGCAGGTCAGTCTCTCTCTAAATGAACACTCGCTTCTGACACTGGGTGACAAATCTCCAAGCCTCCCTCGTTTCTCTTCCCTGGAACTGGTTAAGGAGTTGCTCTGCGTTGTTCTGTGTTTCAGGAAGTACAGCCCGCATTGATCACCTCAAATGAGCGCGATCTGAGCCGTTGGCTTGCCAAGGTGTAGTAGAAGAAAGGGCCGTAAGTGACCCAGAACCAGCAGAGTAGAGAGAAATGAGAGGGTGGATGCTGTCATACTTCTCCCTTTTCCCCTTTCACTCAAACAAGGAACAAATGGCTCAGATGCCCTATAAGCCCTTTGACAGTCTTAGAATGAGAGGCAGGAATCTGGAAGTTGGCAGTTGTTTTTGCCCCCATGTATGCACGAGGGAATTCTCACTGTGGACCATCAGCCTTCTACATGGACTCCCTGCAAATGCCCTGGGTGGGCTTCTCGTTCACCTTTAGCCAAGACATGGCCAGTTAGTTAGGCATGAGTTACCAAGAGGTGACTGGGTTGCCACCTGCAGTAACCGTTTTGCGATGTTAATATACCATATGCAACAGCCAGCTTGAGGTCAAGTGTCCAGTGATGATTTTGTAGCTCCTGACCGTGGCCAAATTTTAACTGCTGACCTGAGAGGAGAAACTGTACATGTTCCATTTTTACCCAAATCACTGTATTGCCTTGAGCTCCCTTCTTGCTACTCTGTCATTTACTTTTACTCAGTAGAAATTCTTTTTATGATGAAACACAATATTAAGTTCTTTATGTTTTCATAATGCAGTTGAAGTTAATTCTCATACAACAGAATTTATCATCTGTAGCTCATAATGTTTCTTCCAAGAGTATCTGTACATGTACCTGTGATTACGTATCCATAGTCATCTATCCCTTAGCATTATAAACATTAAGCAGAATGAAAGTAATTTTAAAATATTTCTTAAATTTTATTTAAAATTTTAATTCAGTTGAATCTTAACCATAAGATAAATTGAGTTCCAAAAGTTAGTTTGCCACGGGATAGTTTAAGACTTGGAAAGTGTTTTTCTATTCAAGCAGGAGTTACAGATCTCAGTGAGGTTGCCGACTAGCCCATAATATCACAAATGTGTGCTATAAATTTGAAAAAAAAGGAGGAAAATACATAAACAAAATGGAACATAGTGTTAAAATCAATTTAAATTATGAATACAAGTTAAACTTGATTTTCTTCAGGAACCGGAGAGTGATACGGAAATACAGGACTTTTTAAGGCTTTGAGGGGGACTTCCAATATATTCATATATGTTCTATTAACTTTTGTTGTAAGAGTAGTATGTGCGTCTAAGAAAGGACATTTTCACAATGAACACAAGGTAGAAACCACCGACATCTTTTGTGCTTTTGTCCCGCCTCCTAAGAAAATGCCAGTGTATATCCCTTTCCTGTGTTGCATCGGTCTGACTCCCATTAAACAACCTCCCTGTGAGCAAAATGAAGCCACACGCCACCCCTGGGGCCAGTCAGCTGCACAGGAAAACATTTAGTGTCTGTACTCACCAGTGTGTATGAGCAACGGCTACCTCTGAGAAACGGCTTTCTGTCTTCCTACTTATGAAACATTTCCAGCACATAAGCATTTCCCATTGTGGCTCACTTTCTTTCTTTTTTAACTTCCACAAGCCATCTCTGAGCACTTTGACTTTCCTGATAGAAAACCTTCAGTTTCTTATTACAACAAATTGTACCCTGAGCAGCTGGATAGCAAATCCTGGCGAATCTTTGGGGATGCGTTGAATTCCTCCCGTTGAGTCAATCTCTTGCTTGGCTGCCTGTGCAGCTATATAACTGCTATCTCTTTGCGTTTCTCTCAGCTCTTGGAAGAGAAAGTAGGGAAAAAAACCAAATACACCCCATTTTCCCCTGTAGAGAGCCAACAGAAAACCAGGCAGGCCTGAGGATGGATGCAACATTGAGAGGCTGAAAAAGTACTGAGTAGAACCAATTTTAATTTCTTACTAAGTTTAGTTTTTTAAATCACATGTTTTATGATTTTAAAAAATGATCAGCGCACTTACATGCTGTTTATCTGTGTCTTTTGAGTGAATCGCGTCCTGAGTTTTCAGCAATTCTCCAAGGATAGACGAATAGACCTGCAATTAAATTACACAAATAATACTGATTTGTCAAAGCTCATAAATCTCATCACTTATAGAGAATGGTGATAAAATTTGTAAGGAACAGTAAGAGGTCCTTGAAAGAAATGAAAGATGGGGCATAAATGGCCCCAAAAAGACAGTTCCCAGTTATTGAGGTATCAAAGTTATTTTGAGTGCAAAATAATATCCTTTGGGCTAGGTCGTACAGAGCTCTTGAGCGCATGAGAGCATGCTGGCTGGAAAAAATGTGTAATACATAGATACGTTCAAGGGAGTGGGCCAGCCCGGTGCTAGGAAACGGGGGTGTGAGAGCCCAGTGGGCTGCTGCCCTTGAACGGGGCAGAGGCTAGGGGCTCTGGGAGCGCTGGGGGCTGGGGGAGCAGAGGCAGCACCCACCTGCAGAGGAATGGATGATGGAAATTGCTCTTACTGCACAAAGGACACCCGCCATCCAATCACACTGCCCTTCAGAATCAGAGAGGAACAAATCCGCTCTCCCTGGGAATGGGAAATATTGCCGCCGTAATCGCCTCCCAAAGCAAGATGAATTGGGTTCAGCGATTGTCCAAGCGTCTGCCAGCGATTTGTTAGCATCATCTTTGCAGAGAAATAGCCGAGAGCACTTGAAGAACTCTCCACCTTTCAGCTTGCTCAAACTGCAAAGCAGTCGCTGTTGTTTAGTAAGAGCCTCCTGTGGACCAAGCAACTTCCCCATCCCTCTAGTCCTCAGCCACAGGGAGACGTTAGCCCGCCCTGTCTCTACAAGAGGAGGCTGAGGGTCAGACTTACGGGTCTTGCCCACTTGATGGCAGAGCTAGGGTTCAAACGCAAGCTTCAGGTTTTATTTTTTGTTATAATTTACCAAAAAA